ATATGTGGAAGGTATTGTACCAGGAAACATTGGGTGTACGATGAGAAATGTCGATTCCTTGTGGCTTTAATAAAACTCTCTCATAAAACCTGGGTTTGGTTTTTGTTGGGTTTTTTTTTTTTTTTTCTTTTACCACTTTTGCAATTTCTTCTGAGATTTATTCAGGTTTTGTACTTGAGCCAATGATTAGAATTTGTATTTTCTATTTATTTAGTCTAGGCTTGTTAGAAGTCTGTTTTTAATTTTTGTTGTTTAGGGTTTGAGGGCCTTCCTCTTTTTCTCTGATTTTGTCCTGGTGGTGACTGAAGTCACAATTCTTACATTTTCTTTTTGTCCTAAAGTGCAAAAGAACTTGGGGCTTTTTTCCATGTGTACTTGAAAAGGGCACACTTTCTGGTTGTTGGGTTTAGACATTAATTCGTTTTAGTAATTCAAATCCTCTCCAGCCCCACCTCGCCTTTCATCTAATTGATCCGTTGTTTACTGGAATAGATGCATTAAAATGCACATAAAACTCTGGCATGTCTATTTCTCCTTGTATCAGATTGACGCTTTACCAGGTGCATTGTTTGGTACCGTTTACATCTTCTCAATGAATTATTTATCAGCTGGTCTCTTTAATACCTTGGATTATATTTTATCTCATAAATGTTGTTACATCTGGTTTCTTTTTATTGGCAGTTACATATTACCTCTCATTACACCATTTGTGTTAACTCCTCCTTCATTTTCTTTTAGTTATGTCTGTGAGTGATTTTTTAAAAATCTATATTTATTGATTTCAGAGAGGAAAGGAGAGGGAGAGAGAGATAGAAACACTAATGATGAGAGAGCATGTGGATAGGCTGTCTCCTGCATACCCCCCAATGGGGATCAAGCCCACAATGGGTCATGTGCCCCTGACTGGAATCAAACCCAGGACTCTTCAGTTCATAGGCCTCACTCTATCCACTGAGCCAAGCCAGCCAGGGCTTTAGTTATGTCTGTGAGAGACTTACAGCTGGCTTTTGTGCCAGCTTCTGCTCCTCTGCCAGTCACCTCAGGTTAGCTTCTGCTCCCCTACCCAGTGGCCCTGCTCACCTACCTCTCCTTCCAACCCAGCTCTCAGCTCCCAAGGAGACAACCTGACTCTCCCTGCTGGGTCCTGTGTTTCCTCCTATTGCTTCTTTGCCTGGCTCCTCACAGCCCTACAGTTAATAACCTGTGGGTCACTGGGGAAATTGAAGCACATAAGACCCCATCCAAAGGGGGAAAGACAGCCTGGGGAGTGTTGCTCAGTGGTTAAGCATCAACCTATGAACCAGGAAGTCATAGTTCAATTCCTGGTCATGGCACATGTCCGGGTTGCAGGCTCAATCCCTAGTGGGGTATGTGCAGGAGGCAGCTGATCAATGATTCTCTCTCATCACTGATGTTTCTATCCCTCTCTCCCTCTCCCTTCCTCTCTGAAATCAATTTTAAAATATAGTTTTTAAAAAGAAACAGGGACTGTCTCCTGAGACATGAGGAAAGTAGTCCCAGCTGCCTTCCAGGAAGGTCTCTCAAAACAGGGAATGCCAGGAAATTAAATCCCTACGGATACCCACTGGCAAGATAGGGGAGCCTCTGCTCAGGGCAAGTCTTCTCCATCTGCCACGAACGGCTGGAAGGAGGACTGGTGACTTCTCCCCGTGGCTGGGGGCTATGCACAGGGACAGCAGGAGATAGGTCAGCTTGTTGTCTGGGCCTGGGCCTGGGCCTGGGCCAGTAATGAGGGCTGGAGCCAAAAGGCTGGGTGAGCGCATGCTACCTGTTTAGCAGGCTGCCTGTGAGCTGCAGGAGCTCCGGGGAGGAGGGGAGAGTGGATGAGGGCCCTCCCCGGGCCTCCAGGGACCAGGAGGAGCAGGTAGGCTATCAGTATAGGAAGGCAGCTTCGAAGGACGGAGCTGGTGTCAGGGAATCCCGTGGTCTTCCACCCAGGGCAGGAACTCAGCTTGAGGGACAGGCCTCCTCGGATTGGGCTGTGGTTGGGTCTCTGCATGGCTTAGGCTTCAGGATCAATCCCACTATAGGGAAACTGAAGAGGCATCCAAGATTGACAGCTGATGGGTTCCATCAGTGCTCACATGGCCGGACGCTTGGCAGACACTAATCACCTTGGGGCTGCTCCCTATACCCTTCCAGGCTTGCACACCACAGGGCTGGGTGGCAGCGGCAGGGGTAGGGGGTACGTGGGGAGAGTTGTCACTTGCCAGGAGGCCTGAGGGGCCCAGTCTTTCTCTCCTGGTCTGTGCCTTGGCCTCCACTTTGGGGCATCTCTACAGGGGCTGGGCCTTTGGGGATTGGGGTGTTCTAGAACATTCGGTTCAATTTTACCCCCAAAATAATCATGACTAAAATAATAATTATAACATCTAATGAATATTTAGAAAGCATTGTTTTTTGATGGACCTGTAACATAATTAAAAACTGTGCTTGTTTGGCAAAAGCAGCTATAAGGTCTGGCCCAGAGAGCTCTGCCCCAATGGCAGCCCCATTGCACCCCATCCCCTGCTCCCACCCCAGCAGTCACTGACCTGTATGTGACTCCTTGGGTTGGGGGGCCAGGAGGGCAGCAGGCCAGGTGCCCTGGAGACATGGTCCTGTGTGTCCTGTCTCCAGGTGTGATCATTGCCCACAGCCTAGTGTTGCCATGATAACCACCCACCTGTCTCATGATCCCATTTTGTAATTCCCCAGAGAAACTGGTTATTCTAGATTTTGTTTAACAATAAATTTCCCAATTTTCAAATACTGTCAACCAAGTAAGGTATTTTTAAAATACCGCGAGGCCCTAACGAGTGCCTTCCCGGGCTGGTTCTGCCCAGGGACCACCCGTCAGTGACCCCTGGCTCCACAGGGGCAGACAACATCCAGCCTCTTCCTCAAGGGAGCAGCGCATGGATTATTACTATTTCTGTGCTTCCCAAGGTGGTTCTGAAGGTGAGCTGTCCCTGCTTGTTAGAAATGCAAAGAAATAAATGTGTAAAAATAGAATAGCAATTCCTCAAAGCCCCATCAGATTTAAGTCACCGATCTGTCCTCTGGGAGCAGCAAGGATGTTCCTGAATCGTCTCCAAGAAGCCCAGCGAGGCACTGGCTCTGCAAGGGATGCTGCACGCCTGCCTCCCCAGTGCTGCCCTGGCCACATGCATGTGTGTGTGCATGGACCAGTGTGCAGGGGACTGCAGAGCGGGGCGGGGACACAAGAACCCCAGGACAAACAGGAATGCAAGATGCTACTCAGTCCTGACCCGACTGACTCCTCTTCTCTGTTGCTCCACACGCTGCTCCTCCTGTACCTCCTGTCCTGCATCCCACTTTTTCTCAGAGCACCATGGAGTCCACTCTCTCTGCTTGGTCTCTGTGCTGTGACCTAGTTGCAGGTTTGTGCCTCAAAACTAACAGACAGCAGGTATAAAGGAGAAAGCTTCTGGCTAAGTGTCAGCCATGCAGAGGGTTCCATCAGCCCTCCTGTCTATAAAATGGGGACAGTTATGCACCCAAAAAATGCCTGTTGCCTGTACTGCGTGAGTGATGTCTGTGCAGGGCTGAGTGCTGGAGCAGGACCCACCCAGCGGCCATACTGCTCTCAGAAGGCCTGTCACGCACCACTCTGACGTGCGAGGAGTCCTGCCCCGCATGGAGGAGACAGCAGACAAAAGGCTTTGGGGCCAAGTGAGAAGACTTTTCTGGAAGACTCTTAAGGGGGGTGCTATTCAGGGGTACTGAAAGCTGAGCTGGGCTCTCAGCACCACCTTCACTTCAGGGGCTACAGGACCTGGACACCACCCCCTTGGTTTGTGCTGTCACGATGACCTGAGGTCCAAGGTCCCTCCAAAGGCAGGAGTCTCTGAAAACCCTTCCCTCACACTCAGGGAATGCCAAGGAGAAGCAGGACCTGGGGTCAGGGAACAGTCCAGGGCAGACCTGAGCCCAGTGGGAAAGGCGAAGAGAACTGAGCTGGCAGCTATTGCTATTCAGATGCTGAAATAGGCCCTACTCCCCCAGCCCAGGGCCAGGTGTCACACCTGTGGGGGCTGGAGGCAAGACCCTGGCCCAGAAGACTGTGATGGAGCTGTCATGAAAAAGTCTTGTCCTGGTTCCTGCACAACCACCCATCTTTTTGGCTTGGGACCAGCCATAACACTGTCCGCCTGGGGAAGGGTGCTTATGGGAAGTGGTGACCATGGAGTGGGATGGGTGGACCTGGCCCAGAGTGAGGGGCCTTGCTTCCGTGAGGACTGAGCAGGCAGTTCTGAAAGGGAGGCCTGAGAAGACACTATGGGACATACACCACCTGGGCTGGACCTCATTTTCTCCAGGAGTGGCCTTGCCCAGCCAGTGTGGCTCAGTGGTTGAGGTTTAGCCCAGGAACCAGGTGGTCACTAGTTCAATTCTCCATTGGGCACATGCCCGGGTTGTGGGCTCAATCCCTAGTAGGGATTGGCAAAGTTGTTTACACACTAAGACCATACACAGGAGGCAGCTCATCAATGAATCTCTCATCATTGATGTTCCTAGCTCTCTTGTTCTCATCTTCCTCTCTCTGAAATCATTAAAAACATTATTAAAAAAAATAACAAGTGTGGCCACACATTGGAGACCAGTTCTTTGGCACCTAGGCAACCCTTCTCAATTGTTGAGTGTGTGAAGGGTGAAAGAATCTGCTCTGCCACCCTGAACCTACTCCCAGCTGGGCAGCCCAGCTTCCTGGCCTCTCTGTGTGTCCCTGGGTGCCAGCCCAGGGCTCTGCAATGGCCGAGGAATTGATCTGTGTACTGCTGGGTTTGAGCTGACTTGGCACATCATATTGCCATCTCTGAGACTCAGTTTGTGGTTTTGTAAAATGGGACAAGAATGTAAGTTTGCAACAAGGTGATGGCCAAGCTGGTGCTGGGCAGATGCCGAGTTTGTCCTGCTGCTGCTGTGTTGCCGGTGAGCCCGGCCGCAGCTGCGCACTGTGCCCTCTGTCTTTCCAGGGGCCTCCCTTGGCAGCCTGGACAGCCTCAGCCGTACCCTGGGCGTCCTGGAGGAACGGATCAACAGCTCGAGGCGCAGGGCACGCAGACACACCGCCGATGACGACTACAACATCGAGGTCCTGCTGGGTGTGGACGACTCTGTGGTCCAGTTCCATGGGAAGGAGCACGTGCAGAAGTACCTGCTCACACTCATGAACATTGTAAGTGGGGCGGGGGGAGGGAGGTGCAGGTGGGCACCTGTGCTTTCTGTGCTTTCCTAGTGGATCTAGGGATGAGTGATGTGGCTTCAGGGAAACGCTCTGGGTCCACAGGTGAGAAAGTGTAACCTTCCCATCAGCCATGCTGAACCTGAGTTTTCTTATCTGTCATTGGGGCATATTCTGACGTGGCTAGGCTGTTTACACACTGAGGCCATTTCCCCAAATGCCAGTCATTTGGCTCCGTTTTCTTTATTTTTACCACACTGCCCTGGACTGTGTATTTTCCTATAAATGAACTGACTTTTTAAAACTTAAAATTATTTACAAAGGAAACAACCTCACTTTACATAAAGGTAACTAAAACATAAAGCAATAAAGAAGGGATATCAGTGTGTGCCCCCCAAGGGGACAGACTAACACCCATCCAGGCTTCTCCAGGAGTAGGCAGAGGAATGGAAGCTTGAAGAGGGATCCGTTTCTTTCTGCGAAGCTGTGCTGCCACTTGTGCCTTCTGGGCATGATGAGGCACTTGCCCCTTGTCTGCCCAATATGGAGAGATCAAGGTGTCGCCCCCTTGTTTACCCAACAGGAGAGATTAAGGAGTTGCCCCCACATGACAGTCCCCACCCCCACCCCAGGAGGCACGGGGTTGCTGCCTAACTGGCCAACAGAGGGCACAGCCCTGCCTCTTCCCTGTCTGGTATGGGAGAGCCTTCCCCTCATTGCTTGATGCTTGGTCAGGGTCACCATGAGGATGTGAGGCTTCCCTTCTCCAAGTGCAAGCCCTAGGGGCAGCGTTCAGCTCAGCTGAGCCCAGTCGGGAGACCTCGGGTGGGAGGGAGGAGCAGGGTTCATCCTGTGTGTAGGATCTTGGTGGGAAAGACAGATCTGTGGAAGGAGCAGGCACTTGCAGGGGGCTGGAGGTGGGCAGGGAAGCCCAAAGCTGGGGAATTGGAAAGTAGTGGGGCTGTGTATTATGAGCCTTGGTTTTCTCATCTTTAAAGTGGATTAATAATTTGCATTTCAGGATAAAGATTAAATAAGATAATGGGAGGTGAACAGTCCAGTTACTAAATAAAATGTGGTTTTGCTATCATGATGGTAGCAGTACTTAATTCATCAACAGCACATCTAGAATTATCCTTGAGGAGTATGCCAAGGGGTCCCAGATTGCAAGAAGGCACAGGCTAGGCCAAAAGACCCCACCAGTGCAAGATCAGGACCAGGGAGGGACCGCAGGAGTGTTCCAAGGCATATCTGGCACATCTAGCCCAATCCCCTTTGGCTGGACCCCAGCAGCAAACTAACCTACCGGTCAGAGCATCTGCCCTCTAGTGATCAGTGAAAGTCATAGTGACTGGTCGAATGGTCAGACACTTAGCATATTAAGCTTTTACTAGTATTGTATGGGATAGGTTAACTTTTTGTCTGTTGCCTGGGTGGGAAATAGTCTTCCCAGTTTTGTGGTTTGCCATTGTTTTGTTTTGTGTGGGATTGTTTTTTGATAGCTCACATGTTTGTGTGTAGTTGTGTTCTGAGGCCTTGGACTCCCCAGTTTTACATTGGGTGCAGTGTCTGGCACTCCATGCCTCCCTGGAAGTCAATCTTCTGGGACTTCACTCTGGTCGCCCCAGCAGTGACTTCTCTGGCCTATTGTCAGCAGCATCATTCCCCAAACCTCACCCTCACAGACCACCTGGCCATTCCTGTCACACTGGCCAGCCCCAGCAGACCCACACCCAGAAGGTCTCCTGGCACAAAACTTTGGGGCCAAAATGAGAATGTGGTTCTCTTGTTCAAAAAGCAGGAAAAGGTACCATAAAAGGTACCTATTAAATCATTTTTTTCTTTCTCCTATAGTCTCTCTCTCAACTTGTCAAGATTTTAAGGTTTTCTCTTTATTGACTGTAACTAAAGAACAGTTAGAATGTTAAATTACTAGCTTGAATTTTACCACTTATCTTTACATTGTACAAAGTCTGTTTTAAATGCACATATTCAAGTATTTAACTTGTATGGAGAATCATCAGAGTATTTTGTGGTTAATGGCAGAGGGTGCCTCAAGGTGCCCAGAAGTTCAGGCAAAGCACAAGCCAGACTCAGGAAATAGAAGAAAGAAGATAGGAGCCCCAGAGACAAAGCCCATGGAGAAAGTGCCCCCCTAGGCACAGATTCCTGCATGGACCATGGGCAGTTCTGGGCCCCTGGGACCTGACAGCTGCCCTGTCCAAGCTGGCAGGCACCACTGGAGGAACCCATGGCTCTGTGCCCTGCCCAGACAGTCTGGGGACAGTGAACCTGGCAGCTCCCCTTCCCATGGGCCCAGAGCTTCAACCCAGGGCTGATGGCCAAGGCTCTTCACACCTCAGCACCTGGATCGCACCTCCTCTGAGACTTGTGTGGGGGTTGCCTGCCCAGGGTGGGATGGCCACAGCTGTACCCCCGCTTGAGATGCTATTTGGCACATGCACCCACCTTGACCCTTTAGGCAACTACATCCAGGCCCCTGCCAGGGGCAGAGGTCAGCAGTGGTTACAGGGTAGAGAGCAGGTAGTCAAGAACCTGTCCTAGGCATATGAGCCAAGGCTTTCCTGTCCCATCCAACTTGACTTACTTCAAAGTGTAAAAAGAAGAATTTCAAGACTGGCAAGTGCCCAGCATTAAGCCCTGAGGGTAGGGTCCTTCAGAGCACAGACTGGCTGGTTGCCCATAAACCCAGGACCATTGGTCCTGCATTAGACCATGCCAGCCAACTTTGGCACCCCATTCCCTACACTACCTGCCTAGGGCCTATCCTCCAGGGCTCTTTCCCATCCTTGCCCATCCAGACATTCATCTCAAAGCTGCCTCCACTCTCAGCTTCTGCCAAAATGAAGAAAGTTGTGCCTGAGAGTGTGCTGAGCCTCAGCCTCGCCCTCCGACACCCTTGCACTAATTTTTAGCATATACTTGCTGAAAATAAGGTTGCTGGCAAACTCAGGCTGAGGCCTGGTCCCCTTGGTCCAGGGTCCCTTAGCCTGCTGAAGAGGCTAGGATGTCAGGGAAAGGCTGCCAGAGAGCCTCAGATACCTGTTTGATATGTAGTCCATCCAGCCCTGCTGGCTCTCCAGGCCTGGCCCCCACACTTGTGCTGGGCTTCTCGTAGGCTCCCTGCTCCCACATGGCTCTGCACAGCCAGCCTCTGTCTGCTGTCACCCTGCTCCTCTCCTCCAACCTTCCACAGTCTCTTCTGGTCTCCACCAGGCCCAGCCCTAAGAACCAGGAGCTCACCTCTGCCTGGCTCACCTGTGTGCTGGGAGCACTGTCCCATTTCACTGTTCCTCCTTGGAAAAATTTCACTGTTCCTCCTTGGAAGAATGCTCACTGCTGTGTATGGTCTTCCTAGGCTGGGATGCAGCCAGCACTCCTGAACACGCCTACTGCTGACCCATGCTTAGGGAATTACCATTTTTCATACTTGCTCTGCCAGGACCTGAGCTGCCGTCTGCTCCCAAGCTCTCTGCAGTGGTAGCTTCCAAGAAGCCTGGCTGAGATGCAGCCCTGTGCTTGTGGCATCTCTGGTTACCTTGGATGATAAGGCACAGACAGTGGCTCTTCTTCCCCGGCTCAGATGCCTCTGAAGCCAGGAATGGATACATGCTCTGGGGGAAACCAGGGCAATTTTTTTAATTCTTTATTGTTTAAAGTATTACATATGCCTCCTTTTCCCCCCCCCATTGCCCTCTCTTCAGCCACTCCAACCTTCCACTATTTGCCCTCCCCTCTCCTCCCTACACACTGTCTGTGTCCATTGGTTATGCTGATGTGCATGCATACAAATCTATTGGTTGATCTCTTACCCTCATTCCTACCCTCTCATGCCTTCCCTCTAAGGGTGGATGGTCTGTTCAATGATTCTCTGTCTCTGGATCTATTTTTATTCATCAGTTTATCTTGTTCATTATATTGTACAAATAAGTGAGATCGTGTGCTATTTATCTTTCTCTGGCTGGCTTATTTCTCTGAGCATAATATTCTCCAGATCCATCAATGCTGTTGTGAATGGTAAGAGTTCCTTCTTTTTTATAGCAGTGTAGTATTCTATTGTGTAGATTTACCACAGGTTTTTAATTCATTCATCTGTTGATGGGCACTTAGGCTGTTTCCAAATCTTAGCTATGGTGAATTGTGCTGCTATGAACATAGGGGTACATATATCCTTTCTGATTAGTGTTTCTGATTTCTTGGGATCTATTCCTAGAAGTGGGATTACTGGGTCAAATGGGAGTTTCATTTTTAATATTTTGAGTAAACTCCTTACTGTTTTCCACAGTGGCTGCACCAGTCTGCATTCCCACCAGCAGTGCAAGAGGGTTCCTTTTCTCTACATCCTCACCAGCACTTGTCATTTGTTGAACTGTTGATGATAGACATTCTGACAGGTGTGAGATGGTACCGAATTGTTGTTTTGATTTGCATCTCGCAGATGATTAGTGACTTTTAGCATGTTTTCATGTCTCTTGGCCTTCTGTATGTCTACTTTTGAAAAGTACCTATAAAGGACCTTTACACATTTTTTATTGGATTGTTTAGCTTCCTTTTGTTAAGTTGTATGAGACCTGTAAATTTTTTATATTAAACCCTTATCAGAGATAACATTGGCAAATATGTTCTCCCATGCAGTGGGCTCCCTTATTGTTTTGTTGATGGTTTATTTTGCTTTGAAAAAGCTTTTTATTTTTATGTAGTTCCATTTGTTTGTTGTCTCCTTGGTTTCTATTGAGATAGGAGCTATATTGGTAAAGATACTGCTATGACATAGGTCTGATATTTTGCTGCCTACGGATTCTTCTAAGATTTTTATGGTTTCCCATCTTACATTTAAGTCTTTTATCCATTTTGACTTTATTTTTGGGGTGGTCTAGTTTTAATTTTTTTTTTGCAGGTATCCGTCCAATTTTCTCAACACCATTATTAAAGAGACTTGTCTTGACTGCATTGTATGCTCTTGCCTCCTTTGT